GCAGTGCCAACCTGTGGTATTGCACCGGAGTTTCACGTTATATTGCATTGGGGAAAAGCACGTAAGCTCTCTTGTAGCTCCTTACAAATCTCCAGTTAGCTCACTACTTTTTATTTTTTGCAGCATTGGGGATTGAACCCAGGGCCTTGCACGTGCTAGGCATGCGCGCTACACTGAGCCACCTCCCCAGCCCACTACAGTTATCTCAAAATTTAAAAAGACTTTGAAAAGACAATTTCTCAAAGTTTTGTCTGTGTTTTGTTTGTTTTGGTGTTCAGGTTTGAACCCAGAGCCTCAGTATGCTAGGCAAGCTTTCCACCTCTGAGCTCCAGCTCCAGCTCTTTTCAGATAGGGTCTCACTAATTGTGCAGGCTGGCCTTGAGCTTGCAATCTACCTGCCTCAGCCTCCTGAGTAACAAGGATTTTAGGCATGGGCTACTGAGCCTAGCTGAAATTCCTGTTTTAATTCCTAATTAGATAGCTAGCTAGCTAGATGATAGATAGATCTCATCTAAACCACAGCTCTTTAGAGTCCTCAGTAATCTTTTTTCTCAGTGCTGAGGATCCAACCCAAAGCTCCGCACTTGCGAGGTGAGAGATCTGCCACTTAGCCACATCCGCAACCCTCCGTAATCTCTAGGAGCATGGAGATGGAAACGTCGGGGCAGCATGTTGAGTGGGGTACGCCTCACCTCAGTGGGGTGGCGCACATCGCTGTGTGATGCGGACCCGTCCGTGTCGCCGGGCACCAGCCGTAAGGTACACGTCCTTGCTGTTTGGCACAAACCCGCTGTGCGGCGCATATCCTGGCTGTGTGGGACACACTTCCGTTGGGTGGTGCATCCCTGCCGTGTCGGGCGCTGTCTCTGCCCTCGGCACGCACTTCTGCTGTGTGGCTGCTGCCTGGACACTGGTCCTGTGGCTGAGCGGATGGACTCTGGCGTCCGGTTCTGAATTTGAATATCGCTCTGCCTGTCATTCCTGGTGTTTCTGTGTGGATGTTGTGTTACCTTTTTGTGCCTATTTCTTCAGCTATAAAGTGGGATTCATTACGGTTGTGAGGATTAAGTGTGATTCCTGACATAAAGCACATCACACAGCCAGGGCGCAGCAAAAGTGAGTTATAGTGAAGAAAAGCAGTTCAGGCGCAGGGCCAGGACGTGTGGGGACTTGCCTTTACTGTGCCTTTAACTCTCAGTGTGACCTGGGCGGGCCCATTCTCGCCTTAGGCCTCTATTTCCTTTTCTGTGTAAATAAGCTGTTACCTGACATCCCAGTCAGTGTAGAACCGGAGATGTCACCAAGGTGATATGTATCTGGGACGAGGACTGTCTTGCTTCAGCCTACCCTTCTAGGCCCCAAGCTCCTGGGTCTGACTGGGGAGAAGAGCACCTCCTCATGGCTGTGGCTGCTGAGGAAAAGGTCCTTGTCTAGGTTGTTCCTTCCCTGTGTTGCTTGCGGACCAGAAGCAGTTGGAGGATGGAGAGGAGTGTAGGTGTTTGGGGTGAGGCTGCCTATGCTTGCACTCCTTTCTTAATTTCCTTTCCCTCCACTGCCAGGGATCCCTCTGTCCGGTGTTTGGGAGTCCTGCTGTGAGCAGAGGCCCGGGTGCTGACACTTCCTGTGTGGCCTGGGCCCCTGGGGCGAGGTCAGGGCCAGGTCTGCATCCTCTGGTGATAGCTGGCCTGTTGCTTAGGTCCCTTTGCTGTTTCCTGCTTTGGCCTGTTTGCCCAGAGAAGCCCTTTGTTCTGAGAGCCCTTTGTTCCCAGCTGGGCCCCTGGCTCACCTAGGGCACAGGCAGCAAGAGGAAAATGCTCTCTCCCTGTCCCTGCCCCTGTCTGTTTCTCTCTGTCTTCTGTCTGTCCGTCTTTTGCTCTCATATTAGGGATTGAACTCAGGCTTTCACACTGAGCTACATCCCCAGCCCTGTTCTGCCTTTTAAAATTTTGAGACAGGGTCTTGCTAAATTGCCCAGGCTAGGCTCAAACTTGAAGTCCTCCTGTCTCAGCCTCCTGGACAGCTAGATTACAGGGTATATCACTGACTGGAGAATGGATTCTTAAGAGCCTTTGTAAGAGTCAGCTAGCTTTGCCCGGCAGGTGTCTTTGCTGAGCTAGCATTTCCTGTCCAGTCTGCGGCCGGTCCCTTATTCCTTGTTCCGTGTTTGCGGAGTGACTGGCTGCCAGTGTTTGCCCACCCTGACTTCCTCATAGACAGTAGGCATTTGGAGAGTGCTGTCTTTCTCCACTCTGTACACCATTCTAGGGTGTTCACTGTTTGCCAAGGAAAGGTTAAGGTGGGTCTACATTTTATCAAGGTCAGAAAAACTACTGGGACATCTGGCCGAAAGGTGCATAGGTGTATAGAACTCAGCCAAAGTAAACGAGGGGCTTTCGTGTACATGGACAGTTCTGTCAGAAGCAGAGGGAACCCCAGGCCACGTTGGTGGCCTGAAGAGGTGCTTCCATCGCGTGCAGTGGACATCCTAGCGCGGGGGGTGAACCTGTGGCACCCGTGCTGCGGTGGGCTGTTTGTATCACTGGAAGCCCTCAGAGGTTCGCCGGCACTGTTACCCCTCCCTCCTAGCTCTTGTCTCTGCAGGGCCTTTCTGTCCTCTTCTCCTCCCGCTGTGGCCACCCAGCGGCGGGTGGCACGGTGCCCTCGGGCCCTGTGTATGGGCCACCGCTTTCTGGCGTACCCTTGTTCTCAGCTCGTCACTGGGCTTCTTTGCTCCCTGCGGGGTCCAGGCATGGGAGTGGGAGGGGCTGCAGAAAACCCCCACTCGTCCCCGCTTAGACCTGCGCTTGCCGAAGCGTCTCGGTGCGCGGCGCCAGGAGGGGCCTCTTTGGGCACCTGTTTTGACTCTCGTTAGTCGACTGGACTGAACAAGTGTTTTCCGCGTCCTGAGGCACACAGGTTGGCAGGTGCTGGCTGTAGTCAGGCGGGGTGGCTGGCTGGGACCCTTTGCGGAGTTGTGGCAGTGTGGCATTTCCTCTGAGCCAGTCCTTTGGTTTCTGCACGCTGAACCCAGCTGAGTGCTGAAGGAGGGTCTCGTGGGACTGGGCTCCTTCGGAGAGACCCCCAAACCTCTGTGCCGTGGGATGAGAGGGACGGAGAGGCCCTGAGGCTGCCCGGCTTCATCGTGCCCTAGGTGGACAGTAGAGAGGGCAGTCTAGGGAAGGCCAGAAGCCACGAAAGGAGGGTGCCTCCGAGCGCAGACACAGTGTGACAGGCCCTGTGCACAGCGGTGCTGCCCCAGGAGGGAGGGCTAAGATCTAGGTGACTGTAAAGTGGGCATCCTTTGCGGGGCGAGGAGGCAGAAGTGGCAGTTTTCTAAATGGGCACTAGGTGGCGGTGGTTCCCCCAGAAGGGCTGCCAGAGTTGGCACATGCTTGCCCCCCTGCAGGAATTCTCTCTTTTTGTCATTTGAAAATGACAAAATTCATGCAGATTTCACAACCTGTATAGGTGAACTTTGGCCATGTGTTTTTTCTGCATTTACCCTCTTCCTTGCCTCTGCTTGCTCTGTCCCTCTCCTGAGCGGGCTTATCCATCTGCACATGCCCTGGAGGGTTATTGTCCCACCATTTGAACATTATCTGGAAGAAATCTTAATATAGGAGTTTCCCTCTGTACATAGAAAACACTGTTAGCTGGGTGTGGTGGCACACGCCTGTGTGCACTCTGGAAGGCTGAGGCAGGAGGATTGTTGCAAGTTGGAGGCCAGGCTGGGCTACAAAGTGAGTTCAAGGCCAGCCTGAACTGCATAGCGAGATCCTGTCTCAAAAAGACAAAAAAACAAGAAAAGAAAACACTTTCTTCATCTGCCAGATAGGGTTAGATGGCTGGGAAGATTAAACTTTCTTCAATCAATGTATTAAAAATGGGTTATTTTTCAGTCTCGTCTTTGGAGGGGTGGTTAACAGCGTGACACATAAAGAGAAGGAGTAAGTGAGAAAGAAAAAGGTGGAAGGGAGAGAGTCCCTGGGAGATTGATGTACACATAGTAAAGTGTTAGGAGCACTGGCCTAGCGCATCAGATCCTGACTTATTTGTTAATTTCAGGCAGTATTTTATGATGGAACTTAGACATTTGGAACCATTCTGGGATTTGATCTTCCAACTTCAATTAAAAAAAAAAAAAAAACCAGACCCCAAAATTGGAGGTGGTAGGTGCATTTATTACTCTGTGATGATGGTAACGTGTGTACGTGTGTCCTGACTCACCAGATTTTGTACATTATGGGCAGCTTTTAGCATACCAATTATAACTCAGTCAAGCTGGACAAAGGTCTTAATTAAAAAGTAGTCGTTTTGTGTTCTTGTTATTTAAAAGCCATTTGAGATTGTACTCATGTAAGTGTGTCCACCGATCCTCCGGCCAGCGCTCGCTGCCGTTTCCCCATTTCTGGGCACTTTCTGAAGAATCTCAGATAAGAACGTCAGGGGCCGTGGGTAGCTCTAAGCCTTGGGTCAGAAGAAGGTGGCTGCGGCTTACTTTTCTGTCCGGTGGGCCCTGCCAGCTGTGGATCACTGTGTCAACGCTGGGCCACCAAATGCTCCATTTCCCCTTTTTGGCAAGGGTGGACGTGACCTCTTTTCCTGGCTGCTTGGTCCTGGGTGAAGGGTGAAGCCTCAGAGGGCTGTCTGCCTTCTCACTGCCTGGTTTTCTGCCTCAAGGTTTAGTTATGATGCTTTCACATTTGTTCATTGGTCCTGGGGAGGAGGAGTCGGGCCAGCGATGTGCTTCCTCTCCAATGCTCGGATCCAGCTCAGACCAGCACTGAACGTGTGTTGGACCGGTGGTGGGTGGCCAGGAATGAATGTTGCCATTTGAAATGAGACGTCTGAGAACACATCTTCCCCACTTCCCAGTTGTTAAGTCTGCCTCGCCGTGCAGAGGGTCTTTTCCCTTCGTGGCACCTCTCCATCTGCACCTGTACCGCAGGGACAGTGCTTTCCAACAGCTGTGAACAAGAGCTCCCTCTTTGATATTGTAGATGGCGGTTGAGTTTCTGCATGAACTGAATGTTCCATTTTTCAAAGTTGGATCTGGGGACACTAACAATTTCCCTTATCTGGAAAAGACAGCCAAAAAAGGTAAGTGTCTCATTTTTGGCATCAAACCCAAGGGAGTCCAAATCTTTATATTCTACGCTACTAATGGTAGCCCACTTTGAGGTAGATCTTACGGAGACAGACAGACTTTAGAAATCATCAGTCTACACTTCTTAATGTACTAACTAGCAAAAAGTTAAGGAGATGATGGTTTTATAAGAAACTTTTTTTAAAAATGTGTTTTGAGACAGGGTTTCACTGTGTAGTTCAGGCTGGCCTTGAACTCACTTTGTAGCCCAGCTGGCCTTGAACTTGCAGCAATCCTCCTGCCTCAGCCTCCCGAGTGCAGGGATTATAGGTGTGAGCCACCATGTCTGGCTGAAATTTTTTAAATTAAAAAATGTGAAACTAATTTTATAGAGTTTGAGAGTAGAATGTTGGTTATCAGAGGCAGAGGGGCGTAGGGGAGGGAATGTGGGGAGAGATTGGTTAATGGGTACTAAGTTATAGTTGAGAGAAGTTAGAGCCGGTATTCTTTGCACGGTAGAATGATTGTACCTAAC